AACGAACTGCGATTACTGATTTTGTGGTAAAATTTTACTTCCACTGACTATAATTAATAAGATATAAGATAAAGTAACAAAAAAGAAGCGTTTCTACTAGAGATCAATGAAATACTGATTCTTAGTGATCTTATTCATATATTTGTAAATAGAAATTAATATAGTTTTTATAATAATTATATATATATATATATATATATATATATATTGTATGTATGTATGTATATGTATATGTATGTACATATGTATATATAAGTTAAAATTAATTTGAAATTAATAAAAATTAGTTTTTATTTTGTCTATAGAAACGTAAAAAATACATTTCCTTAACTATGGTTTTAAAATCGTTTCTATAGAAACGTTTCTTATTAATGCTTTACGGTTAAAAATATTAGATACATTTAAGAAACGTATATAAAACGACCGTGTGCTACATGGGCGTATAATGACAAAATAAATTGAAAAAGAATATTAGAGCCAAAGTATACATATACAGTATATATATATATATATATATATATATATATATATATATATATATATACAGGGTGCTTCCGCAACATACAGATCGGTAAGTCGGGTTGCCTATCTGACGATCGGTCTTCTTTTACCGACCTCGCATAATTGAAAAATAATAAAATCAGAGGATCGATCATGTAATTTTTTTCGTAAAAAGTGAACAAATTCCTTGATTGATACCTTGAATGCAAATCCGTAGGAAATGAGGAAAGTAAAATCAGCTTCTAACATTGATTATGTTATTAAATATTACAATTACACTATATCCGGATCGACGCGTCTTAATTAGCTGTCTAACATGTTGATTAATTACTTTGAAAATAGTTATTAGTGGATAGCTATTTTTCAGCAATGTTTCAACAATTAGTTCGATATTTTTCTTTTCTGGAAAACTGGATCAGACAGCAAAAAGACCTTGTCAATCAAGTTAATAATTGTCCCCTTTTTTTATTCATTGGATGCTGTGAATGAAAATTGAGATATCTTCCTGAGAATGTTTTACATATAAGTAGCTCGTAAAACTATCTGGTAAAATTTACCCTATAGGTACTAATCTGTCAAGTAAGATGAAATTTATCGAAAGATGGAACAACCCAGCCTAAGAGTTACTTTGATTTTATTTTATACTTAAATTTTATTATATAGATTCCAGTTACTTTGATTTTATTTTATGTTTGTGCCGAACCTAGTCAATTTATATTATAAATTGTGCAATGACATAAGACTAACAGATTTCATTTAATAAAATATATTTGCAAATGTTTTGATCACATATTTTTCTTACATTAATTATTACATTTATAAATCATTATTAAGTACCTTATCCCATTGCCATGACAACGCGCCAATTCCATTGAAAAAGTTTGCAAAATCTTCTCTAATTTTTTTAGCTGCAATAAGATTTGAAGAGCGATTTCTTGGTAGATTTCTCAAACCTTCAAATACTACTGCACGGTCTTGCGCAGTAAAATTCGAATACTGTAGTTGTGGTACATCTAAATCCCTTTCAGTAGATATTATAAAGTTATGCACAGCAGTTGTTGCCTGAATAATTTTTCGAGCTGTATATACAGAAGCAAATATTGGTTTTCCGTATATCCTCCATCGTGCAGCGAGTATTCCAAATGCTCTATTCTATCGATCGTCTAGCGCGGCTTAATCTATAATTGAACACTTTTTTCTTGTGTCAAGATTATTTCGTGGATATGGCTTCATCATAAATGTAGTTAACGGGAATGCTTCATCTGCGACTAATACATATGGCAATTCTATGTTACTATTCATAACATATTTTGCAAACGTAATTGAAGCGATTCATCGTAGAATCCCTTACTCAACTCACTATTTTGAAAAATTGTACTATCACATTGTCTTCCTGCGCTACCAATATCCACAACAGTAAAATAGTTGTGAGCTTATTCCAAGAAGAACGAGGCTGTGTTGTCCTTTATAATTATAATATGTAGAACCACTATTTGGTGGCATCTGCAAAATACAAGTATATCTTATAATGAAAAAATTAGTGCAATTTACACATTAAATATATTAAAATAAAATAGTTTTTACCTGTATAACAACATGTTTTCCATCAATAACCCCAATAGTTGTTGAACTGACAAATATTTCAAAGTTTTCTGCGATGTTTTGCCAGTTAACTGTACTCGGTTGTAGAAATACTTCGTCTTTAAAAGAATTCCAAATAACGTCGCAAGTTTCGGAGACAATTTTGGAAACAGTATTATGCGCATTACGAAAAGCAAACGATATTGAGGTCATGCTAGAAGCTATATATCGCAAAGTCACTTGCAAATGAGTGCGCGCAGGTATTGGTGTGCGGATAATGGTTTTTTTTGTAATATAAGGTTTTTGTAATATAAATAATATTCAATAATACTTAGCAATTTTTCAAATGTTTCTAATAGCATCCGAAAATAATTAAAATATTTTTCTTTATCAATTACTTTCATTTCACGAACCAGATTGTCGCTTGCTCCCTGCATTCTTCAATCTTCTTTCTTCTGAGAAAATTGGTCGTATCCAATATCGACGTTTGTTTTTCTCTTTCTCTCTCTATTACGTCTTTTAATTATTATATATAATAAATATAATTTAAACATTCGTTTTCGAATAATTTGCTTTTGAATTACACAATAAGATCTATTTCGAAATAATCCCAGTAGAAATTTAAATCCGGCGCAGAAAGAGTCTGGATCAGGCGTGCCCTACACACTGGCACGGCACTGTTCCGGCTGCCAAAGCAAGGCCTGACTAATTGTGAAATGTTTTTTTACTTACGGCCTTGTGATTTAGCATTCCGAATTGTGATCAGGCTATTGGGTCGTAGCTTGATCAGTCCACTAGTTCAGGGATTGATCCGGCTGCCTTACCTGTTCCGGACATCGAAAATATTTAAAAAAAAAAATAATATATTATTTAAAAAAATGTTTGATACCATCTATCAATCATAGTTGGACTCTATTTGTATTTCGGCTCCTATCGTAACCGGTTAAAAACGCTTTCCTGCCTGAATTTTTCTGAATTTTGACCATTCTGAATTTTGACCTATTCTGGGGGGATTCGAACGTGCGCTATTTGATCGCCTATGCCGAAAGCTAAGTACGCTACCTATTTAGCTATCCTAACACTTCGAATATTTTAAGTTAAATTATGTTATGTTATGTAGGCGTTTATTTTAAGTTAAATTATGTTATGTTATGTTATGTAGGCGTTTATTTTACACAACACAAATATTTAATAAATAAATTTATCATATTATATCAAATATCATCTTAAAACAAAACAAAAAATTTTTTTTCATTTATCATATATTCCATAAAAAATTATATTGTATTTATCATATTATATCACATAATTATATATTTATCATATTATATTAAATATCTCAAAACAAAAAAGAAATCTTTTTTACTCAATTGTTAATTTTTATTAACTCTTGTTTGTCGAGCGCCTTCCCAATCTTTCGCTGCATTAAAATCTTACCCAAAGATTTCTCAATATCCTTGCATAATATAGGCAGTCCGTGCGATTTATACTTCTCTATGACGATTACTAGATGCAAATAGCAAAAAAATTGAAGGATTGATAAATTAATCACTGATGCAAGTACATACTAACGATATCGTAAAAATATATAATACCTTGCATTTCAGCAAAAAATTTCGTCTTCGCGAAGACTTTTTTTACATACGTGTAACTTTTTTTACAGCAGTGTAACTGACAATCACGTCACGGGACATGAAGATTTTTAATACTCGGCGTATTCTCGACTGATCGAAAAATCAACATAAATCTCGTTGATTTCACTTGTTATCTTTCTTCATTGCTTTGATCTTTTCTTTGCTCTTGAACGTATTTTATTGAGTGTTCTATGATATCTATTACAATCTAAATTAGACATTTGCTCTGATAAATTTATTCTAATGTATTATTATACATGTTGAATGTTAGAGGCAATTTATATCAGCGATACTATATATAATAAATAGTTGTCTTGCAATATAATTAGACTGGATAGAAAGAGAAGGAGAAAAAAGTTTTTTGTTTATAAATTCTTATTTCTTATTCATAAAAAGTTTCATTAATCATAATGAAACATATATTTTTTGCATCAAACATGATAGCTTTCTATTTTTGTGGTAATAAATGAAGATACATTGATCCCTGTCTTGGTTTTAAAACCAGAGACATATCTACGGTCATTTCCTCATGCGTTTCTATGCTTTTCACTCTCCACTTTCTGAGTATGGCTGCTAATATGATCTTTTCTTCGAACATAGCGAATTTTTGTCCCATGCAGTTTCTTGGTCCAGCACTAAACGGGATGTAAGCGTATGGATGTATCTGTTTCAAATTCTCAGGTAAGAAACGGTCTGGATCAAATTTTAATGGATTCGACCAGATTTCTGGATTTCGATGAACCAACAGAATTTGCACTGCGACCGAAGTATCTTTCGGAATTATATAATTGTCTGAAATAAGAGAATAGTGCAAAGTTTAATGGAAAATCTTATAATTCAATTATTTCACACAGCTTGTTTCATTCATTCCAAATTCACAAAATGCATCTTCCAATCGTTTTATTGTTAAATTTGTTGAAAAATTATTTAAGTTTGAACACAAATTATATTTTAATTCTGTAGATAATGACAGATTCAAAGAGTGCATTATATAACTGAAGAAAGAAATTTCAAATATCTTTTGAAAAGAATTAACAATCAAAATTCATTTTTCTTTTCTATTTAAATTTAAGAACTATTTATTTTCTTTAATTGATAGTGGAATATTATTATTTATTTATTATTTATTAAATCAATTCGTACCTGTCGGCTTCGGATGGGAATTAATTTATAATATTTCTTATTCTAATTTACTCGCATTCATTCGCATTTCATACATCCACTCTTCTCCTACTTCTATCTCTCTATGTCTCTAAATCCTAAACGCTTCTAATTTCAATCAATTATAAATTATCCTAAAATATCCTATTCCACTTGCACATCTTCATTTTCCCTTTATTCTATTTTGTTCTTCTGTACTTCCTTCATGAGAATTTCCATTTTTCTGTTTTCCATTCTGTATTTTTTTTCTCTTCTATTCTTACTGTCTCATTCTCTATTTCTGTTCTCCTCATTTCGTCTTCACTCACCCTTCCTTCCTCATTTATTATATTTCTCGCTGTCGCTTTCTCTTGTTTACTTTTTCTACTTGTAAATTCTTATTTTCTCTTCTTTCTTTTCTGTTCAATCATTGCCTATATATAGTTTTTTTCTCTTCTCTATTCCGTTTGCTATATTTTTCTTCTTGGTTTTCATTAGATTGTTTTCCTTTATTGTCTTCTTTTTCTTCTCTGCTAGTTTTACTTTTTCTTAACCTTATCATTCCAATCAAACTTCCTTCTTTTTTCCATGCTTTGTCTGTATAATTCTCTATTTCAATCTTTCGGTTTTCTTTATTGTGTCTCTGCCGCTGCTTTAATTTCTTTCTTCTTCCTTTTTTCGCATTCTATTTGATTCTTCATTCCCCTCGTATTTTTTTTCCACCTCCTCATTGCAATCCAGATTCTTTTCCTCTCATGCTTCCTCTAACGTTTCCTATTTTTTGCTATTCTCTTAGATCTACAAATCTAGTCTAAAAATCTAAATTTAAATCTAAAATCCGAATTCTCTAACTTTTAAAATCTAATCCAAATCTGTATACTAAAGTTTAATCAACACATAATTAAAATCAAAACTGAAACCAAAATCATAATAAAATCAAAACATGTACAAATTCGAACTAAATTAGACTTAACAACGTATACCGAATCTAAATTTTAATTTTGAGTGGATTATATAAATGTAGAACCTTAAAGCCGTAAAAATCAATTCTCTAACTATTTTTATTCCACTCCTTATAACTGTCTCCTTCCTAATATCTCCTTTTGTACATTTTTATTTCTTCTCCATTTCTTATTATTTCCTAATTTGTTTTTTATGTTTTTCTTTCATACTACGTTAGATCATTTTCCCTGTTACTTAAATTTCTATCTCTCCTATTCTATGCTTTATTTCTTTCCACCCATTTTCTTCTATCCCTCTTATTTTTAACTATACTCTCTGTATCTTTCTTTTATACCTCTTATAGTTAAATTATTCTTTCTTTCTTTCTTTTAGATCTCTTCCTTGTTCTTTTGATATTCATAATTCCTTCCCCCTGACCATCGATTCTCCTCTACATTCTCTTCTATATTTTGCGCTTCGTATTTTTTCTTCTTTACTTTTCCCTGCAGCTATTCATAAGGATATATACGTTTAACTCCTTTATCAATCTATCTATTTTCTTTTCAAATCTAAGCTTTATTTTATCTACATCCAATAGCACATTTTACCTCCGTTACCTTCTACTTTCTATCGATCCTTTCTTTACCGATATCTCTTTGGTCCCTCAGCCTCATTTGTCTAAATCTATTATCTATATTTAATCCCCTTTTATTTTAATTTCTTTCCTATATTTCCTCTCTCTTTTTATACTTTCTTTTCTTCTACGCTTATTTCTTCTTACTCTTACACGCCTACACCTATTGTATTGTTTTATCCTATCTAGATCAAGTCCACCTATCCCTTAATTCTTTGTTCAAATTTTAATCTCTTCTATTTCTTACTTATATTATCCCTCTTCTTCCCTCTTTTTTCTATAAGTTCTTATCTTCCGCTTTCTTATTCCAGCACATTCCTACTTCTATATCTAACATAGTTTCCCTAATTCTATCTAAAATATCACACATACTCGCGGATCCTCCATTTCTCGTCACATCATCTAACCCAATTGATAGTATAGTATATATAGTATATATAGTATAATAATATACTTTTCAAAAACTGCTATATGCAATCATCGTTAATTTCTTGCATTGTATCGATTTATTTTATTGAAGTGAGAACATTGAAAGTGCAAATAGTTTATAATTCGTAAAGTTGATATTTTTGTGTAAAATATTTGATTATATTTCTTTTATCAATTATTTTAACGTAAACGGAGCATATTTTAAGAATATTTTAAAGTAAAACAAATTACTAATATATATTATATCACATATTCTATAAGTTTTACCTTTAACAAATTAATAAATAGATAAAGAAATTTACCTTCAGATTTTTTACCTTTAAGTTTTAAAATCTTTCAAAAATAAATGTTACCTCACACTTGTATTTCGTATTGGATTCTTTGTTTCAAAGATTTGTATCATTATAAAAATTTAAAAAATCTTACCCATTTTTATATCTTCTGATATTTTTCTCATAACTAAGGGTACACTTGGATATAATCTGCGCGATTCTTTTATAACTCTCCCGAGATATTTTAATTGCGAGAGCTCTTCAATACTAGCTGGTCTTTGAGAATCTTTGAAAACCTCTTTCAGTTCCTCATGAATCTTTTCTTGACATTTGAGATCATTGCCTATACAAAAAAGTGCCCAACTGATGGAAATCGCTGTTGTATCATGACCCTGTTATTACATATTATTATTTAAAATCAAGAATTGTATTATAATCAACAGATAAAGAAAAATAATATCTCAAACAAAAGAACTTTTTATCACAATTTTTTACTCACTGCAAATAGAAGCGAAGTTACGTTTGCTCTCAAATCTTCATCAGGAAACGAAACATTGTCTTTCTCATTTGCCTCCAGAAAACGATCTAGTAAAGTTTTACTTTCCGGTTTGTCTAATTTAATTAAAAATATATTTAATTAGAAGAAAATCACGTATGAATATAATTTAGTTTAAATTTATAGAAAGCAAATAATTTGGTTTTCAAAAAATATGAGAATTTATAATTTTATATCTAAAAAGTTTTGAAAACTAAAATAATAGATTATGCGTTTAAAAAAATAAATATAAAAAAATTTGAAAAATTAAACAAATTTTAAATGTGCAAATATATAATAAAAATTTATTTTTTAATTTATTTTGTCTTTTTAAATTTATTACTGTATTTTAATATAAAATTTTATAATTTAAAGCTCACATTCATTATAATTAAATATATTATAGAAGTAATTTATGAAAGTGATTTAAGAAAGGCGTTTGTTAAATTATTCTGAGGAAATTTGCTGCATTAATTCATCAAAAAATTTATAAGAAAAGAATAATAATAGTCTAATGTATTTGATACATTTTATTATAAATTACAACACTTTATCTTTGTACCTGGTAAATCTAAATTATTATTATTCTGCTGATTTTGTATTTTAATGTTCTGCATACGTGCGACTTTCCCCCATTGTATTATCTAAAAAATTGTAGTATTCTTATTATTTATAAAAATCTAATCTGTTTTAAGCAAAATGGAGAAATGATATAAATATGAATTTAACATAACTACATTATCGTAAATTATTTTTAGTTTTATATAATATTATGACAAATTACTAATCAATATTACAATATATAATGAATATACATAAGTATTATTTCTTTCTATTTGTTATGACTATGATGATTGTTATGCAAATTATTTATACAATAATTTTTTCCTATGGTAGTAAATAAATAGATGATAATAAACATTATATACAAAATATACAAAAGAGAAATATATGATAATAAATATTATATACAAAATATACAAAAGAGAAAACGAGAAAGAGAGATAAATATTAGATTAATTAACAACTAATAAGTATTGGATTATTTAATATAACAATATATCTAACTTTATCAGTTATATATAACATAGTGATAGAATATATGTAAATACAAATACAATGAAAATTTATATTTAATATGCAAAACACGGGACATTTAAAAACACTATAAATTAAAAATTTTAAAACATTTAAAACACTAGATCTCAGTGAAGATGATATTTATAATGATTTCTTTATGTCGACCATGCAAAACACGGGACATTTAAAAACACTATAAATTAAAAATTTAAAAACATTTAAAACACTAGATCTCAGTGAAGATGATATTTATAATGATTTCTTTATGTCGACCTAGCTGAATACTTTCAGATTGAAGTTCTTACCTTATCTGAACAGCTTTGCATATTGTTGATTACCGTTTTAAATTCTCTTCCCTGGGGTAATAAATCATATATCCAATCATATAGCCATAACCATGATCGAGTCACACGCACCGAATATAAATCCAAAAATCTGAAACATATTCTTTATTAATTTTTGCATCCAACTTAAAAGAATACACATATACAAGAATAATGAAATCAGTAATAAATTTTTATTATTACTTTATTCATTCGTGATTATCAACAAAATTCGTCATTATCCGTAAAGTTATTTATTTTTATCTGATTCAGTTAGATATTGCATAATTAAAAATTAACATTTAATCAAATAAGTAAGGCAAATATAGTTTATGATAGAATATTTCTCCGATTGAACGAAATATCAGAATCCTAAAGAATCCTAAATAATTGCTTTTGGCGCAAATATTTAATTTGTTATCAATATCTAAGCGTTTAAAAATAAAATATTCGCTATAATATTAATATAATTTTAAGATACACACACACATACATACACACATATTTATATATATACATATATATATATATATATATATATATATATATATAATAGCAATACGTATATATATGACAGACACATAGCGATGCATGTGAAAAAAAGTACAAAATAGTACAAAATTAATATTTACATGAATATTTTAAAAATAAATTATTATCTCAATAATATCAAAATAAAAAACAGAGAATTTGTTTATATTAATCTAAATATATAAGAACAAAAAAAATTAACTATATTGAAAATATTTAACTAACAATAAATTAATTTTATATATTAAATTATAATGATATAATATTATAATGATAAAATTGTAAAATTGCAAACTGACCTGTCGAGAGCCAATCGATAAGACGTAATGTCTTCTTCATCCAAATTTACTCCCATCGTCGTTTCTATAATTAATATTTAATTATTTATATGTAATTTAATATGTAATTATTAATATTTAATTTTTTATTATAAACCTATATAATATAAGGAAAAAATTTACAATTGTAAAACATCAGAGGATAATTATTATTACGATTTGTATAATATATGCGTACTAAAGAAACATTACATTTTTTGAGTTAACAAAATTTGGTGAATTTGTAACAAAATTTGTTAATTTTCTTTGTTTTTAAAGTTGCTATGTTAGCATGAAATAATAATTCTCTATCGTTGAAATTGCCCATTTATGGATTATTTCAGACTTATACATGATTATATTTTCTTTCTTTTCTTTTCTATATCGTGTTCTTACCACATATAATGTTCAAAGTGATATGTTGTATAAATGGAAGAATATCAATAACTTTCGTCGAATTTTCTGTTATCTCCTTCTCAATACGTTTTATTACAGTTTCCGTTTTTTCGGACATGATGACAGTAAATTGTTCCAGCATATTAAAATGAAATGTTGGCCAAAATATTTTTCTATATCTATGCCATAGTTCAACTGAAATATGCGATATATTTATAGAAGACCAGTTCTTTTACTTTATATTTTATTTTATACGCTCTTTTATTTATATCAGTGCTGGGATTTACTTGCAACTTTCGGCCAGATTTCTTAGCTTACGCCTACTGTTCCCCTCTTACTGCTCGCTCCTTAGCGACCGCGCCACCGGACGCTCGTAACTAAGGAGTGATCAGAAACGTGCGCGTTACAAATGTTATGTGACAATTTATCTAAGTTCTCTTTATTGTTTATTAATAATAAAAATAAGTATTCTATTATTAATTACGTATATGTTCTGTAATAATTTAAAATATTTGTGTTTTGAATCGTAATTACAATAAGAGAATTTAGATAGATAGATTGCCACATTACATTTGTGACGCACACGTTCCTGAGCGCTTCTTAGTTACGAGCGGCGCGAGCGGTAAGGGGAAAACAGTAGGCGTAAGCTAAGAAATTCGGCAAGTAAATCCCAGCACTGATTTATATCACTAGCTATTACTAGTGAAAATGACAGTCTTTTTGTGAAATATATTTTCAAAGTGCTTTTATTATTTACCTGGAGCAGTAAGAAGCCCATTACCTAGCCATGGTTTTAAGAAGTTATATAGTTCCGCTTTTTCGACATGTGTCTTACTTTGAAGAACGTTCTGTAAATTTAAGAACAAGATAAAGACTCAAATGCCAACAACAATGTATGATATAACAATATATCAATAATAATATATAATAACAATATATGTAGGATATAACAATGATATTTCGCAAGTTTGCAATTAAAAAAGCAGTATTCTGTAGATTTTATCGAGAAAATGGTTCTTAATGATTGCAAATTTTATGTTACTAATTGTAAAAATTATTTACTCAAAGAAAATAGACGAAATATGCCCAGATATTTGTAATAATAATAATAATAATGATGATGATGATAACGATGATGATGATGATAATGATGACAACAATGACGATAATGATGACGACGATGACGATAATGATGACGACAATGACGATAATGATCACGACGATGACGATAATGATGATGATGATGACGATAATGATGACGATGATGACGATAATGACGATGACGATGATGACGATAATGACGATGACGATGATGACGATAATGACGATGACGATGATGATGATGATGATGATGATAATGATGATGATGATGACGATGATGATGATGATGATGATGATGATGATGATAAATAATCTGTTGGTTTAACAAGTTTTGAGAAATATATACTTTATTTTATGTATATATATAAATATGATGTAGATTAAAATTTCGTTGTTCTATAAAAGTATCAGTTTTTATTTTATATGAACGCCGGAAGAACTTCAATTGTCTACATTCTCGATTGCCAACTGCTTCGTTTGCTCACAGTATTTTGTGACAACTTCTTTTGCCGACATTCCTGATTGCCTACATGTATTATTGTTCACACAATAAAAATAAAAGTACGAAAATTCGATTGCGCATATGACTTTATTGCGCACATTGCACACATGATATTATTGTGCACATGCACATTGCACACATAATGTTAATATACATATGATATTGAAAACATTGCACATATACAATAAGAAAATAACTTTGCAATTAAAGACCACGATTAAAAGTACAGACTGATACTGGATTGTTCACAGAATCCCATCTTAAAATCTTTAATCATTTTGATAGTAAGATTCCCACTTATATGATCCTCTGCCGAATTTGATCAACTTTTACAGACATGTAGTATTAAATGAAGTCGAATGCCACAATTAAATGGGATGGGCAGAAACGTCTTGTTCATGAGGTATTCAAATTTTTATTATTTTTATAGATGTTGATTTTTCTCTTTCATAAAGTTGATTCTTTGAGAAGCTATGTGGGTCGAACATAGCGCGATCTTAAATGAGGTCTATAATTGTTCTGTTCCACATGGGGTTTAGTACTACATGTTTGGAAAAATTGATTGAATTCGGAGATGGGTTGCATACAAAAGTTTTCATCAAAACATCAAATTATATTTCTAATTTTTACATGAAATAATATCATGTGTGCAATGTGTATGTGCGCAATAATATCATGTGTGTGCAATCTGTATGTATGCAATTTTATGTGTGTGCAATCTGTATGTATACAATTTTATATGTGCAATGAGCATGTGTGCAATAGTATCATGTGTGGAAAGTGTTAATATGATTTTTTTATTTTATATGTGCAATAATGTCATGTATTTTCGTATTTTCATTTTCTTCATGTATGCAATAATACATGTAGACAATCGGAAATGTTGGCAAGAGAAGTCGGCAAAATGTTGTGCGCAAATGAAGCATTTGACAATCGCGAATGTAGGCAAACGGGACCTCCATATGAACGTATCTAATATATAACTTATTACTTACACATATATTCAGAATATATTTACTAATGATCATATATTATAATTATCATTATTATTATATAATAATGTTTTCAAATTATTTCTTACCTTTATAAATTCTGGTTTCGTTACGCAAACTATTGGGTGCAATCCAATCCAAATTGTGCAAAGTTCATTTATATTTTGGTATGGAAACAATTTCTTATACACTGCGTCAAATAAGTAATATATAAAGTTTATATAATATACGTATGTTATTATATTATGCGTGTTTGTGTGTATATGCTTCTTGCGAATATATACATATAAATAATATATATAGAAAATATTAGCAAATCTTTTTACCTTGCTGAGGCCTGGTCATCTTACGTAGTAATTGATATAACGAACGATCAGATCCGGGAATATGGCTGAGTTTTATTCGCATGATATAATGGACATACATTATCCATGCAATCTTATAGAATATAATCACACCAACAGCGGATATTAAGAGCAGGAGGAAGCTCATCGTTATAGTTTGCGATTGTTACAGAAAGTAATTCAATTTAGACAAATAATCGATCTTTATTTGTCGTCTTTACTCTTATATGTATATTCTTTTATGCAAAATGCCGATAATCTAAATATTTTTCCAGGTATGTTTTCTTTGTAGATATGTATGAGGTCTATTATTTATATATTACGTGTATTTTTTAAGTGTAACTTATTGCTTTTGTAAATTATTTTTTTACGGTTATTGATACATAAAAATCTATTATTTATTCGTTATATGTATTAAGTATAATTCTCTTTTTTCATGTTCCTCTCTTACGTAAATTATTTTTTTTTAAAGTTGTGTTATTACTGATAGGCAAAATATTTTTACTTCATTAATTATTCGTGGAAAAAGATCATCTCTGCGTACCTGATAACAAATTAAACATTATATAAAACGGTACATTAAACAGTTTAAAACATTTTAAAAAATGCAATAAGTGAATACACATGCGCACAGAGATATACATAAATGTTAATATAGTTAAGGGGATGCCGGAGTCGCAGCCGAACTCCGACGGGTAGGCGCCCTCATTTTAACATAACTAAAAGTGTCGGTACATTGCCAACACTTATAGTTATGTTACCGACAATCTTATCTAATATAAAGAGACATGCATATTTTGGAAAGAGCAATATGAAAACATTTCTTTATGTTGTGTTAATTGTATTTATTGAAACAAAAAATATGTTGCATTTTCACTACTCTATCGTCTTGCACAAGCAATTTAGAGCATAGATCTGTCTTTACTGCGTACATATTTAACATAATTCTAATATCATTGCTCTCGTTTAGCGATGCTCTTTATATATATAATAAAAATATATTGTGAAAATATTTATAAATATTATGTACTTATAAATTTTACGAATACGATATTTCATTAAACAATTTGTATAAACATTTTATATTGTTAGCTTTTGATTATATTGATTTAACAAATGTCGTGCATAAATTGTAATTTGTAGAAAGTATATGCAAAAAATATCCTTTTCATTAAAATTATAAATAATTTAATGTCGCTAGTCGAGTAATCAAAGAATCAATAGAAAAATTGTAGTCGACCAAACTAGCCAAAAAATTAAGTTTATTCATACGATGTTTCGACCATGTGGTTGTGGTCCTTATCAAGTATACATAAAAAAGATTTATAAATACATAAATTAACGATTTGAATACATAGTAACGCACAGAGAATTAAAGTGTGAAAAGATTTTTACCAATGTAATAATAATCAGAGGACAACATTAATGGTGAACATGTAAAACCACGTAATCACGTAATACAAAAAACGTTATTTAACTAGATTCGAATTTGAGAGAAACTGATGCGTCCGTGTGAGACTTCGTCAAGAAACTAAACACAACCAGAGGAAAAACGAAACTACGTGACCTTTATTATTTTATCATAAATATTATTTAAACTATCCGTGTCTTTCTGGTAGGTTGATTAGATTATTAAATCTCTTGATAAAGAATATCTCATATCTCTATCTCTCTTTTACGAACGTACTTTTCATTATGCGTGATATTCGGTTTCGACCAATCGAAATCGTGTCCGGATTCCAATCTATGTTTGCTAATAGCGGAGTGATTAGACTCATGTAATTTTATATTGTTACAATATTCTTTCACTCGGGTCCGCAAATGTCTTTTTGTTTGCCCAATGTGTGATAAATTGCAATCCCTACAGTTTAATTTGTATACAACACTTGTCTTGTCGTTATTGTGTAAGGTATCTTTACCACATCTGATTAAGTTATTAAGTTTTTTTGTTACTTTGTAGACGAAGTTGAAACCACTGTTTCGTAGAAGACGGTAGAGATCTTGACTCGTATTCTCTACGTATGGTATAGTAATAAAATGAGTTTCATCTGGATGAGTAGAATTGGCGTCATCAGTGTCATTGCAGTCGCGATTGTTTAAAAAATTGATTCTTTTTCGAATGTGTCTATGAATAATATGTTCAGGAAAACAATTATTAACTAACGTATCATATATTCTCTTGTTTTTTTTTATTCTTTGATCATATGTATTATATAAATATTTTTTGATATATATAAAAGTAGATATTTGATTTTCGACAAACTTTGAAAGTATCTTGATATTCTAAAGAATATTAATCCTAAAACAAGAGAGAGGGAGAAAATAAAAAATCATTGTAATACATTAATCCCATATTTTGTAATAATTTAATCAAGCTATAAAAGATACGATAAATTTAATCATTCCAGGAAAAAATATTACATATACACTAAATTTGTTAACCAAATAAAAAAATTTTTAATGTGCCAATTTCTTTCAATTGTTTCTCTATTACATAATATAAAATTTCGCGAGATTCTACTGCAACCTTTTAACTGTATTTCATAGTATTATAATATTAAGCCAAGTGTTAACATCACAGATCTATTATATGTCAAATCTTTAACATAAATTGTTTCTAGTATTTTTATTTATTCCAGTAATTTTATTTATTTTATAATTGTAAAAAATATTCTGAAGGTCATATCATAATATCTGATTACAAAGTTGTAATAAAAGTTGTAATAACCAAGTTGTAATAAACCGAAGTTATAAAGTATTTGAAGTATTTGCAAATTCTGTCATAAACAAATAAGTATTTTGAAATTTTTTTCTGTTGAAATATTATTATACATTAATATTATAATATTATTAATAATTAATATATAATATTAATTAATAAAATTTTTGCAATGTTAGACAAAACTAAGGACTCATGGTATTAGAAATAATTTCTGTTAAGACCACGTTTTCGCTAATTAATCAGTATTAAACACTGAAATTTTGCAAAAGTATGTTATAAAATTTTATTTTATACAAATATTATAAAGATTACCTGATAGATTACATGATGCGACGATAGAAACACAACTCAAATCATTAAAAGGAAATCACAAATTTCGTTATAGAAACATATAATTCAGTGCAATAAATGTGCGCGAACTAATAAGATAAATGTGAGGCTTATATTTATAACCGTTCTTCAGCTCAAAAACTATTAATAATCAGATACTATTCTTAATGGGTGGGGTTCCATTTGTCTACATTCCCGATTGCCAACTGCTTCAATTGCGCACAATATTTTGCTGACAGCTTTTTTTGCCTATATCCCGATTATCTACAAGTATTATTGCACACACGAAGAAAATGAAAATACGAAAGTACGATTGCACATAATACATTGTTGCTTGCATGCACGATTGCACACATGAAATTATTGCATACATGCAGATTGTACACATGATATTATTAAGCACATACACATTGCACACATGATATTATACGCAAGCAGTTGGCAAACGTGAATGTAGGCGACTGAAGCCCTTCCTATTCTTAGAATCTTAGAAAGTACATGTATATACAGTACTCTTCTATCTGAGAAAGTACTTGCGTAGATACAGTATGTTCCGTCCCTGCAGAGCGCTCCACTTTCGAAAGATAAAACCCAACCTAATCCATGTCCGTGATATGGGTTATATCACGCTTTGCATAGAAAGTTATAAACCCATACTATATGTACATATAATAATATTTATACATAGTATAAAAAAATATGTTCTATTTATAAAATTTCTTTTGTTTATAACTTTTAAATAAACAATGTGCGCCGACTAAAACGTTTGGAAAATTACTCAAGATCAGTACCTTGATAATATATATCAAGGTTAAAATTATCCGAGGTGGCTCTCCCAAGCTAAATAATTACCATAAGTTTTGCATTTACATGTATCATTAATAAGTCAATTACGTCAAGTCTAATAAGTCAATTACGTTGTGTAATAATGATTGATATTAAAAGCAATGAGATTAAGATATACTTTCATGAAAAAATTCGAAAAATAAGATATCTGTTTATGAAAAAGTTGTTCAAAAAAATTGTTGTGCAATAGAAATGAATATTAAAATGAATATTGATGTATATCTTTATTTTTTTGTGTATAAAACTAATTATTTGAATTATTTGAATATATTAAAACTAAAAATATCTTACAAATAAATAAAGTTATATAAATGTATTTAATTTCAATCGACATAATTTTCTTACATATATACGACGTATTGCCTACGATGAACAATTCCAGATAAGATTAGATCATCAGAATCCGTTTATGTCAAGAGACAAAGTTGCTCTCTGTAAGATTTTCATAATGTATATCAAAGTGTATATTTTCTATCAAGGCATATTGTTTTTATATTATTATAAATTTATATTATTATATTATTTTTTATATTATTATTATATTATTATATACTTTTATATTATTTTTATATTATTATATTATTATATTTGTTTTTATATTATTATTAAATAACCGCACAGGTAACAATACTATTTTCTTATAACGTTAAACTCTTGAAGGTCGCCAGTAAATAAAATATAAGAAGTAATTAAAAACGACCACACTGGCAAATTTTATTAAAGTGACTCACGACGTTTCGACCATGGTTTTGGTCCTTTTCGAGTGAACTACAACAAATTATTTCCAATATTACACAAAAAATAAATTACATTGATTTTGAAATAAAAAATGAGCGGCAAGTTAAATACATACAATAATTTAGTTAACTATTCTATTGTGAGAAATAAGGAAATCACTTCGTCAAGATTGTCATGTCAACCGTCTCTATCAACACACAGAGAAAGACTAGACAATCTTTATTAGTCTATCATAAATATTGTTTAAATTTTCAGTGTCCTTTTGTAAGTTGATCGTGTTGTCAAACTTTTTTATAAAAAACATTTCCGCGATTTCTCTCTTTCTCCCGTGTTCTCCTATGGGCTCCCCCCTATCACCTATTTTGGCAGATATCATGATGGATGACTTGGAAACGTATTGCTTAAGTCAACTAAGTTTTAATATTCCGACATATTATAGGTATGTTGATGACATTTTTACCATTGTTCCACGCTCAAAAGTTGAAGCGATAAAATCGACCTTTAATAATTACCATCAACGCTTAGCATTTACGCATGAAACCGAGTCTAATTTTGGTATCAGTTTTCTTGACACGATTATTATCCGATCAGATGGTCGTCTTCTGACTGATTGGTACAGGAAACCCACCTGTTCCAATAGATACTAATTTTTATTCTAAACATCCGTTCCAATATAAAATGAACACTATTTACAATCTTGTTGATCACGCCATTTTATTGGCAGACACTCGATTTCATTCCAAAAATATTGACATCGTTAAGCAGATTCTTTCCAACAATTGCTTTCCAAATCATATTATTAACCGCTATGTACAAAAAAGATTATATTTTTTAAAACACCGTCATAACGCAAATATGGACAATGAATCCGACAATGCAGTTACATCTTCGTACATCTCCTTGCCGTTTGTGGATGGCTTGAGTAGTGAAATTGGTCGCGTTTTTAAAAATGTAGGTCTTAATGTCGTCTACAATGTGCCTAAAAAACTCAACGTATTAATTAAACGTGGTAAAGACAGGCTGCCTACTAATAACAGGACAGAAGTCGTTTACAAATTAGACTGCAAAAATTGTAACAAGTCATATATTGGCCAAACAAAAAGACATATAAGCACTCGTGTAAAAGAACATCGCAACAACACAAAAATGCACGAAAGTAATTTTTCTGTTATCAGTAAACATAAAGTTGAATTTAATCATGACTTCGATTGGTCATTACCAGTTATTTTACGTTATAATGAGAAACATGTGAGAAAGAGAGAAATTGCGGAAATGTTTTTTATAAAAAAGTTTGACAACACGATCAACTTACAAAAGGACACTAAAAATTTAAACAATATTTATGATAGACTAATAAAGGTTGTCTAGTCTTTCTCTGTGTGTTGATGGAGACGGTTGACATGACAATCTTGACGAAGTGATTTCCTTATTTCTCACGATAGAATAGTTAATTAAATTATTGTATGTATTTAACTTGCCGCTCATTTTTTATTTCAAAATCAATGTAATTTATTTTTTGTGTAATATTGGAAATAATTTGTTGTAGTTCACTCGAAAAGGACCAAAACCATGGTCGAAACGTCGTGATTCACTTTAATAAAATTTGCCAGTGTGGTCGTTTTTAATTACTTCTTGTACTATTTTCTTATAATAGAAATTTTTAGAACTATTTCTACTAAAGAAGAATTTTTCTAAAAATTTCTATTAAAGAACAATATTTTAAAAATTTCGATAAAATATATTGTATACTTTGCTACAACCGTATAGTTACAGAAAATATAATTATAATAAAATTTTCACACATTAATTATTAATTTTATGGCATTATTTTTCTAAAATACATTACATTAATACTATTACATCAATTTCTCATAATATATCATTTTTATCGTGCGTTTTTTCTTTGGATACATAATTTGAGCATATTTGATTATAATTTTTTATTATTATCTATTTTATTATTATCTTTCATCACCTTAAATTTATGTGTATCGCTTGATAATTTAAGCATTATAAGCTGTAACTATTTATTTATTTTCTTTCTTATATGGTATCAGTGAAAGGATCCACAAAAAGATTGAAACATTTGATCAGGTTAATTACACGTAATTCGATAATAAATACAATTTACGCACCTTTTACTGCATTCAGGCTCAAATTGGTCCTTTTTTAATATTAGTTTTTCTATTATAAATTATTAATTTGGAGTCTCTACTTTTATATTTTAATTATTTATATTATATAAACATCAATACACAAATGTTCTGATTGGATTTTGTTTTTAATATTATCTTTATTCAAATATGTTATAGACAGATAAATAATAATAAAGAAAATGGATTATAATTTTAGCGCGATAGAAATAGCAAAATTTTAATTGTGTGTGTGTGTATGTGTAGAAGTGGAGGAGAAGAAGAAGGATTTCATTAAATGTTAATGCCTTTTAAAATTTTATTCGATTTACTTTTCTGTATCTTCTCCCTCCATTACGTTTTAGATTAACAAAATTTGTTCAGGTGCCTATTTGTCACCAGTTTCTTACTAAAGTTTCGAATTTTTGTAAGATTTATCTGGCTATTGTTGGTTAGATTTGTCGGTTTGGATCGGTTAAATTCGCCATCAATTTCTTGTTTTCCTCTCTGATAAGTTTCAGAATGTTACTCTTTCTATTCAGAGGGAGATGTATATTGTTTTATTATGGATATATTTGTCTATTTCCCTCCCGGTATTTTTTTATCTTCAGATAATTATTTGTTGAAGAGATCAATGTTGCTTCATTGTTAGTATTTTTTGCGTGTTTTTTTTTGTAATTACTCATAAATATTAGATGACAAATATAGATTATTATTTAAGCCCGTATTTATAATCATGATTCAGATGAGACACTCAGCTGAAACTAATTTTGAGATGTGATACGGTTTAATAAATAAATCTTAAGAATCAATATGGTATTCATTTATCTCGATTCAATAAAGATACTCAGAGGAAGTTTGTCTTGAGATGCAACTTGATCTGTATTGATTGCATTTCAATAATTGCAGCTTAAGAAAAAATCACATATTAATAGTTTTATATTTCGTATCAGCTAAAATTTGAGTGGGGAAAAATTGCGTATTACTCAAATGTAGTTCAAAGATGACTTGAGGAAAAGTTGGCAGGATTAATAGATTTAATAATTAGAGACTTTTCTCAAGTCTAATAAAAAAATCAAAATAAAATGGCATAAGAGCCAACGCGCGGTAGTTGGAACGCAGAGAAGCAACACTTTTCTTTTTTCAATATTATTTTATTAAAAAACACATTATAATAACAAAAAGCGAACGTTTCGGATCATCTTTTGATTCTTCTTCAGCGTGATTTTAACAATATATGTCACAGACAGTGACGCGTTACATTAAACGAATTTATTCTCGACGCGTAGGTGATGTTAAATTGCATCCCGCGAAAGTCTAGTAAGCACTCTGCTTCCAACAATCAATTAAATATACTATAGTTATGCTATGCGACATCATAGCAGATCTAGCCTATCGAATAAAAATAAAAAAATTAATACCGAAAGATATTACACATGAATAAGTTTTTTTTGCTTAAA